CTGTCCAGAAGGTTCTAGGCCTGCCCTTTGGCTCAAGCCTGGCTTGGGCTACACTGGAGGCACCCAGGTCTCTCTCAGCACCCTTCTCGGACAGGTTCTAGGTCTGTTCTCCACTGCAGGCCCAGAGGAGTACCTGAGAGCCCTTAGCAAGGAGACCTCAGCGTGCAGCCTCGCTGGTCACTCCGCTGGCCTCTCCCCAGACTTGCCATGGATTGGCCCACTACCCTCCATGTCCCTGACCTGAGATGAGGAAGCTGTCTGGGGAAGCAAATGACCGGAGAAGCTTTGTCCCAACCCGCACAGTCCGATCTGGGACGGAAAAAAACCCTCTTCTGTCTTCAGCCACTCCCTGCCCACCCCACCGCCACTGACTGGAAGTGTGGCCCTGGCCAGCACCTGGCACAGTGCCGGGCACGCAGCAGGAAGATGCCCAGCAAGTGTCTGGGTTTGCATTCAATCCGCTGAGTAACTCACAGACACATATTCATTAAGTACCATCTGTGTGTTGGGCACTATTCCAGGACAGGATACAGAATATAACAGATGCGCTCCCTGCCCTCACAATGCTTACATTTGTGTGTGTGTGTGTGTGTGTGTGAGTGTGTGTGTGTGAGTATAGATAATAAAGTACATAGATAAATAATTTCTGATAGTGCTAAGTGCTATGAAGAAAAGAGAACAGAGTAAATCTTATAGTGAGTCAATACAGAAGTGGGCTGGAGGAGATCTTAGGGTGGTGAGGGAAGGTGTCTCTGAAGCGCTGAGATTTAGTAAGGATTCTAGAAAGAAATACAGCCAGTGCAAAGTCCTGAGGTAGAGGAACTTCCCTGGTGGCACAGTGGTTAAGAGCCCGCCTGCCAATGCAGGGGAAATAGGTTCGATCCCTGATCCCGGAGGATCCCATATGCCACGGAGCAGCTAAGCCCGTGCGCCACAACTACTGAACCTGTGCTCTAGAGCCCACGTGCCATGACTACTGAGGCCGTGTGCCACGACTACTGAGGCCGTGTGCCACAACTACTGAAGCCTGCACACCTAGAGCCCGTGCTCCGCAACAAGAGAAGCCACCGCAACTAGAAGTCCGTGCACCGCAATGAAGAGTAGCCCCTGCTCGCTGCAACTAGAGAAAGCCTGCACGCAGCAACAAAGATCCAACGCAGCCAAAAAAAAAAAGGCCTAAGGTAGAAACAATCTTAGCTTGATCGGGAAGAGAGACCCAATGGCCAGTGTGGCTTGAGGGGCGTGAGTGAGGGAGAGTGGAAGGCAATGAGGGTGAGAAAGAAAGCAGGAGCCAGCCTTGTGAGGCCCTATATAGGCCACGGTTAGAAGTTGCTTTATTCTCAGTGTGTTGGGAAGCTGTTGGAGGGAATGAATGATTGAAGTCACCCTTCCTGGGCCTCAGTTTCTTATCTATAAAATGGATCAGATTATTGCTTCCCAAACACCAGCTTGAAGACTGGAGATAAACCAGGAGCACAGGAGTCACCTGAGGAACTTTTAGAGGTACAGATTCATTGGTCTCGCGCCCAGGGGATTCTGGTTAGAAGGTCTGGGATGGGGGCATGAGGTTGGCTGTTTGGTTTTCAAGTCTGAGAATATCTCTTCCAGCCAGTATTGACTTCCTCTTTCCTTTCTACCATTCACCCTTTAGCTCCCGCCGCCCCCCCCCCTCAAAAAATATCTTCAGGAGGATGGTGCAGCCAATCCTGTGTGACTATTTGAGCAGGGTGCCTTTTCCTTCCCTTGCACCCAGTCCTCAGGGCTGCAGAATCACTCTCCTGATGTCCCCTGAGTCCTTCTTACCACATCATTCTTACAGAAACCTCCTCAAACATCTGAGGGTTGCCACTTCCTCCCAACTCAGCCCCCACCTTTCCTATACCCCATCCCATCCCAGCCCACCCAGCCGCGGCCCCAGTGGAATATGCTGGCCTCAGGCCAGGGCTGTGTGTATTTCAGGCCACAGACAAACGGAAGGCGCTGGAGGAGACCATGGCCTTCACCACCCAGGCCCTGGCCAGTGTGGCCTACCAGGTGGGCAACCTGGCTGGACACACTCTGCATATGTTGGACCTTCAGGCGTCCGCCCTGAGGCAGGTGGAAGCCCGTGTGAGCACGCTGGGCCAGGTAAGGGCTGTGGGAAGGCTGCTTGCCTCAGACCCCAACTCTTCAGCCCCACCTGGACATCTTCTGCAGCAAAATTTTTTTCTTGCCTCCCTCCATGTCCAAATGCCCACCTGTATCACAGAAGGCTGGCACTCCCCAGACTTTTTGAGCCTTCTCGTCTTTGTGGCTGTGTCTCAGGGGTGAGCCTTGCTGTCCCATCGGACCAGGAACTCCCTGATGGCAGAACTTCATCTTTCTCTGACTTCTATCCTACATGGTAGAAAGCAGGCTCTCCCTATCATGGTGGCTGCATAGGACAGGAAAGAGGAAAATGGACCCTGTTTCCATATAAACACGGGTGGTGATTTTATAAATATCCCAGACTCAGAGTGCTTGCTTGGCAAGGTCGTCCTCAGCCCTGGAAGCACTGCCACCACCACACAGCAACCCCAGCCCATCTAGCATACGCACCCTCCTCCTTCCTTCCTGGATCCTTGGCCAAGGAATTGCCCCATAAACCACACGCACAGATCCAGCTACACATTGGTCTGGCCTGTGCATCACTCACATGTTCGGTGTGGGTGTGTCTTTTCCTCTCACCCCAGCAGATTGGAGTTCCCACCCTCTCAGTGCTGTAGGTTTCTCCACAGTACATTCCAAGAGGAAGTTAATTCACTTATATTATTGTCCCCTCAAAGGAAGAGCTGATCCAGCCACAATTCTCAGCCACCTCCACTTTATCTCCCTCTGCTCCCAAGCCAGCCCAGTCTCTTCCCAGCATCCCCAGGGATGTTGTGTTTTCTCTTCCTCGGTTCCTGCTCAGCTAATAATAACCCTTGTTCTCTTCCACCAGGAAGTTGCTCCAGAGTGGTTCCATTCTCAACTGGCAACCCTTTCCCCAAATGCTGCCTGCCCTTGGGGACAAAACTCACTCTTTCTCTGGACTTCCCTGCCTCCGATGGTCCCTCCTCCCACCCCAAAGTCTTAAGGGGAAGGGTGCTGTGCAGAGGCTGCCCCACTGTCATCTCCAACTCTGTCTTTGCAGATGGTGAACATGCACATGGAGAAGGTGGCCCGAAGGGAGATCGGCACCTTAGCCACCGTCCAGCGGCTGCCCCCCAGCCAGAAAATTATCGCCCCTGAGAGCCTGCCTCCCCTCACGCCCTACTACAGGAGACCCCTCAACTTCGGTTGCCTGGATGACATCGGTCACGGGGTCAAGGTAGAGAGAGGGGCTCCTCCTCTTTCTCCAGAGCCCACCCTCTTCTCTTTTTTTTTTTGGCTGTGCCACGCAGCACGCGGGATCTTAGTTCCCTGACCAGGGATCGAACCTGTGCCCCTTGCAGTGGAAGTGCGGAGTCTTAACCACTGGACCTCCAGGGAAGTCCCCCCACCCTCTTCTGCCTCATGGCTCTCTTCTCTCTAGACCCTCAGTTTTCTTCCACAACCATGTTCTTGTCCCAAGCTGCAGTCCCTTTCCGTCCTCACTCCCTGAAGCCACCACCCTAAGTGGCTACCTTACTCCACAAGGCCTCCTTAGAGGAGTCCCTTCACCCCCTTCCTCCTTAAAAATTCTTCATGACCCCTCTCTTCATAACTGACCTTTACTCTGTATCACACGATCTGCTGCGAGTGACATCTGGGCACCCCACCCCTCCTTGTGGGTGGCGGGTGTGTGTGAAAGGGAAGAGGGGGGAGGGAGAATGTCAGGGTGTGCATGAGAATGGCAGGCCAGCCACATGAGATCGGCAACTTCCTCTGTCTGGAGGTTTGAGGTCACTGCACTGAACAGTCACCCCAGAGCTGCTGTTGGGTGGGAAGGGGCTGGGACGCAGCCACTCAAAGGAGAACACGGTGAATGACTCTGGCATTTTCTTGACAACCCATGTCCTTCTGAGAGGTGGGAGAGGACACACCCCCCATCACATTTTGTTGATTACTTGTCCCCACACTCCAACATTCCAGATTAGATTGGATGTTCCCCTGTATCTAAATGGCCCCTTGATATCCTTAACACGCCATCTCCCCCCAGAAAGAGAAAGCACGCTCCCTCCTTCAGTCACCAGGCCTCCTCACCAGTAAGTTCTTCCTTCTGTCCAACTTAAATTCTTTATGCTTGAGCTCGAGTCCCTTTTTGTCTTGTCCCTTGTGAAGGATAGCAGAGGACATCATCCCCCATGCACCCACTCTAGGTAGGGGAAACCCTGTCACTAACAGAGGTGCTGGCTTTCATGTGGGTTTGCACCTTGTCACTGGTACACTCTAAATGTTCTGCTCCTCTCTGCCCCAAACTCCCCAAAGCCAGTTCCCCAGGCCTGCGAAAATGACAGGTGGGACATTTCTAAGTCAACCTCTACCTCCTCAACCGCACACTGGTGTTGGGGTTTCTCAGAGTCAGGGACCACCAAGCTGAGCGCTGAGATGCTTTTGCGAGCGGGTGGGGCTCAGCCGCTGAGGCTATGCAGAGGAAGTGGCCTTCTGACCGTGCCTGTCTGAGCCTAGGCAGACTTGAGGCCTGGGATCCAGGCAGCGAGCAAGAGTGGGTGGGGCGGGGTGGGAGAGGGGGGCTGGGAAGTGGAACCGGGAACCTGCTGTGTCCGCCCTCTCCCTCCCAGTTCTCGTCTGCCCCTCCCGCATTTCCTCTCTGGGATGAGGGGGCTATTGCAGGCCCCCCCACCCCGGTGTCAGCCCCGCCCCCTGTTCCCCCGCAGGATCTGAGCACACAGCTGTCGCGGACCGGGACCCTGTCTCGAAAGAGCATCAAGGCGCCTGCCACACCCGGCTCCGCCACCCTGGGGTGAGGCCTCCCCGCAATTCACACCTGCGCCGCCCCATCCAGAAACCCTACTCCTCCACAGCCCCCTTCAAGCCGGGCGCCAAACTTCCTCCTCCGCCAGTTGCCACCTCCTCCCCGCACCGACCGCCTGCCCGCCTGATGCCTTCCCCTTGACGACACCCCTTCTCTCTGCCCACCCCCAGGAGAGCGCCCCGGATCCCCGAGCCAGTGCAGCTCCCCGTGGTGCCGGACGGCAAACTCTCCGCCGCCTCCTCTGCCTCCTCCCTAGCCTCGGCCGGGTGAGCCGCACAGGTCCAGGTTGGGGGTGGTCGCGAAGGGCGGGGGCTTAAGAGGACTCAGGGTCACGGGGGCGGGGCTTTATGACGGAAGGGGGCGGGGCCAGTTGGGTGCTGAGTTAGGAAGGTGTCCCCCCAGCCCCCAATCTAGCCGAGCGCCCGCTTTCTCTGGTCTTCAGCAGCGCCGAAGGTGTTGGTGGGGTCTCCACGACCCAGGAGCAGGCAGTACCCCCACCTCCACCCCCTCCACCTGCTGCCTCCGAAGGTTTCCTGCCGCCCCCTCCGCTGGGGGAACTGTGCCTGCCCCCAACAGGTAAGGAGCTCTGCCCTCTCCTCCTAGCTCAACTTTGGGGTCGTTCTCACCTCCCAATACTTCTCCCCACCCTCACCCTTGTTGGGTCCAACTGGGTCTATGTCAGTGACCACTTTGTCCAAGGCAGGAGTAACGGGAAGAAAGGAGGCAGAGGGAATGAACTAACATAATTTAGCCCCCGCTTTATACCAGACCCCAGGGTCAAAGCTTCTCATCCATTTTCTCACTTTTACTTAACCTCCTAGGATCTTCACACTCCCATTTAGTAGATGAAGCTGAGCCTGAGAGGTTAAACTAAGTGCATTGGCTCACTCAGCCAAGTGGCAGAGTCTGACAGCCCTACAACTGTTCAATGTTACCATATTTACTGAGTACCTACTACCTGCTAGAGGCATTGTGGGAGGACCAGGATGAATGGGGGCTGAAAGCAAAAAATGGGTAGATCCTGGGGCCCTGCTCTCCAACACTGAAGTTTCTTGGCCTGGAGGGGGTTGCCTGTGTGACACTTGCAGCCTTTCTGCTTTCCCTCCCAGCCCCAGAGCTGCCCATGCCCCTGGACCTGCCCCCTCCTCCACCCTTGGATGTAGGTGATTTGGGGCTACCACCTCCGCCACCACCAGGCTTTGGGCCTGAAGAACCCAGCTGGGTCCCTGATGCATACTTGGAGAAAGGTACTTGACTCCTGGGACTGAAAGGCGCCAGATCCTGGGGTCAGGATTCCCCGCTCTTCTAGCCCAGAGCCATTCTCCCCTCCAGCTGCAAAGGGGTGAGCCTGTTGTTGCCCACACCCCCATAGAGAAGAGAAGCAGCCGGCCTGATATTGAATATTATCTCAGCTGGGGAGGAGTCCCGGGGCTTTGGAGAAGGCATTTCCTGCTCCACTCCCCACGTTGCTCCCTAGGGTCCAGTATGTGGGCACCAGCATCCCTGTGGCAGGGCAGGAGGCACATCTCATGGCACCTTCTCCTCCCGCCCTGCAGTGGTGACACTGTACCCATACACCCGCCAGAAGGACAACGAACTCTCCTTCTCTGAGGGCACCGTTATCTGCATCACCCGCCGCTACTCCGATGGCTGGTGTGAGGGTGTCTGCTCAGAGGGGTCTGGATTCTTCCCCGGGAACTATGTGGAACCCAGCTGCTGACAGTCTGGGCTCTCTGGGATGCGGACCCAAGCACAGCCTTGAGTGAGCCTCTTTTTGAGTCCCACACCGAAGCCAGCTCCACAGTCAAGACTGGACCAGGCCTGCACACCTCCTGGGCTGTGAGCTGTGTCTGTTCCTTCTCCAGAGGCCTGCTGGAGACAGGAAAGAGCTGGAAACCAAGGAGTTTGGTGACCTTATCCACAGGGGACCCTTACGCCATGCATGACAGGGTCTCCAGCCGCAAGTGCCAACTTTGAATAAAACTCTGATGACCTGATTGCCCTGCAGGGCTGGGGAACCGAGGGACTGAAAGGCAACCCACTTGTAAGGCTCCCGCTAATTGAGCCCCCCCTGCCTGCCCTAAGCAGCAGTATCCCCCATCTCCTCGGTGCTCACTGAGCCCTCTGCACTCGACCCCTGTGCCCCTCTGCAGAGATGGGCTGCACCCTGCTCTTTTGCCTGTTGCTTGCTTTGTTATGTATTTAGTCTTGGTTCCCCAAGCTGGGCACTCCTCCCAAGAGTGGGGACCAGCTCCCTCACTTAAGTGGGGCTCTCTGAGAGCAGAGATCACCTCGCCCTCATCCCTCAGTTGGCGGCGCAAGAGATCTCAGCCCCCTTCACCTCCTTTCTCTTTTTTTTTTTCTTTTTTTTTGCGGTACGCGGGCCTCTCACTGTTGTGACTTCTCCCGTTGCGGAGCACAGGCTCCGGACGCGCAGGCTCAGCGGCCATGGCTCACGGGCCTAGCCGCTCCGCGGCATGTGGGATCTTCCCGGACCAGGGCACGAACCCACGTTCCCTGCATCGGCAGGCGGACTCTCAACCACTGCACCACCAGGGAAGCCCCTTCACCTCCTTTATAGCTCTGAAACACCAAAAGAGGGAGGAGGGCCTTGGGTTTCCGCTGGCTCTGCTTTAAAACATCATGGCTTTCTGTTCCATACGGGGGAAGGGGGACTCAGGGCCCAGTCGGCGGGGCAACTTTGGTTAAGTTCCTGGTTTCTTGCTGCATAGACGAGGCTGGGGTGCGAGGAGATATCTTCGGGGTCTGTGAGGTCCCTGGCTGGCCAGACCCGAGCCCCGGACAGTGTGCTACCTCATTCGACCACAAGGAGGTGTCTGTGCCCTCTGGCTTTTTTTTCCTGTGGGGATGCTGACACGGTTGCGGGGGGGGGGGGGGGGGAAGGGAGGCCAGGAGTACAGTGTAGGGTCACAGTAGGTAAAACAAGATCTAGGCCTGGGACCGTCGGCAGAGAGTGCCACCCCGCTCCGCGGGGAGTCCGGTGCGGGGGAGGGGGTGGTGGAGAGTGCAGGGCCTGGGTCCCCTTGACAGAAGACTGGGGGTGGGAGGTCATGCAGCCCAAGGTTTAATTAAACCTTTAGTTAAAGGTTTAGTTGGTTTAACTAAACCAATGCAGCGGGAGATGTTCTACCCCGCCAGGGAACCCCTTCCTCCCAGCTGGGAGGACCAGGTTTTTGGAAACGCTGCTGCCTGCTCAGGTATGCGCACCACCCGGGTGGGGCAGACTCTGGAATTTGCTTGTAGTGGAACTGGGGGAGGCAGCAGAGCTGGGTTAACTGCATAGGCGGGGACAGCTCCGAACTCCCTCTTTCAGTCCCCAAATGGACGAACCTAGGATTCCGGAAATTCCCGGAGGATCATAACAAAGCGAAAGGGAAAGGGGGTAATAAAGCTAGGTTTGTCTTTCCCGACCCCCACCCCCTCACCCCCTCCCCGCCCGGGTGCCCCCTGCAGGCCACGTCCTCAGCACGTCTTCAGCACCTGTTGCAGATGGAGGCGCACTTCGGTGGCGGTTTCCCAGGGCACCACCCTGGCGCAGAAGGAGCTGGGCTCGGCCTTCTGCGCCTCCTGGATAAGGCGGTGCATGGGGTAGCCCCGGCGCGGGAAGGCCACGTCGCCTCCTGCCAGCACCCCCATGGGGCAGAAGTCGTTGGCGCCGTCGCCCACGTAGAAAAGGCGCTCGAAGTGCACGCCGTCGTGGGCCCGCTCGCGCAGGTAGTCGCTGAGCACCTTGTGCTTGCACATGTTGGCGGGGCAGCGAGCGCAGCTGTGCGCGTGGAAGGGCCGCAGCGCCAGCAGCCCCCGAGCGTCGGGCCCCGACGGGTTGCTGAAGATGCGGCGGAACAGGCCGTGGTGGCCGGCGGCGCGCAGCGCACTCTCCACGCCAAAGGTGTTGGCGTCTGAGATAAGAATAACCTCAAAGCAGGCGCCCTGCTTGGCCACAAACTGCAGCAGCTCGCCCATGCCGGGCGACAGGGGGATGGCCTCGTAGATGGCGCGCAGGTCCCGGGGCCGCACGCCCTGCTCGCCCAGGTACTGGAAGACGCGCTGCATGTACTCGTTGTAGAAGCCCTCGCGGTAGGTGGCACGCAGGCTCTCAGGCAGCCGCTGGCCCGGCGCGGCGCGCACGATGGAGTCATCGCTGTTTTCATCCACGATAGTCTCATCAAAGTCGAAAGTCAGGAGGAAGCGCGGTGCGCCCTGCGCAGCCATCCCGCCGTCCTGGGAGCAGGGGAGAGAGGAGGGAGCAAGCGAGAGGGGGCGCGGCGGGAGCCGGCCAGGGAGAGGCTGGTTAGCGGGCCTCGGCCAGAGGCGCTGGCACATCCAAGACCTGAGGAGGACCCAAGGCTGGTTAAGCAACGCCGTCCCCACCCCCAGCCTTCCCCGCCCACCCCCTTGCACCTCTCGGTTAACTGCGCTGGGGTTTATCCTCAGGGGACCATCCTCCTTGTGAACCCAGAAGGGCTTCTTTGGCACCTGCTTCTTCTACTCTCATCCGGGGCTATGGGGGCTTAACGAGGGTCAGCTTAAAAGAGTGGCAGAGCGGCTTCCAAGGGGGCGCTCCTTTGGTGAGGTTTCTGGACTAGAGTATTCTGGAGACTTCCAGTGACCCCAGCTGTCCATTGGATACAGGGAGGGTGGGAGGGACTCTCTACTCCCTCTTCCTTAACATAGTTAAGGGAAACCACCCATTCATCCAAATGCAGCAGCCTCCTCGTTCCCCTTTTTGGCCATGCACAGCCGATGGCTTGTGGGACTGGTGGACAGGAGGAGCCAGGGAAGACTTGCTGGTACCACCCAAAGCATGTGGGCGATCAGTGCCAGGCCTGGAGAGTTAGGGGCCTGGGCTTCTGCACTGGCCAGAGAATTGGATTTTAGCTCTTGGAAGAGCCAGGTAGGTGGATTGACTATCCCAAATCCAGGCAGGCTCTCTGTGAGCTGCCTCCAGCCAGTGGCACTGGGCAGGGGTCCGAGGATGGGACACAACTTCTCGGGGGAGTTTTAGGGCCCTGTGCTGACAGCTCATCGCTAATCACTTGCCAATTCCCCGGGAGGAACTTGTCAGCAGGTGGGGTTTCTGCGAGAGTCCGAAGCAAGCGGGCAGCAGGAGAAGCAGTGGGGCTTGGGGAAGTCGGAGCCTCCCACACCAGGCCACGACATACCTGGGAGACAGGTAAGGAAGAGGAAAGAGAGCAGCAGTGGCTGAAAAGGCAGAGGAGGGAGCAGGTAGTGGGGACGTGGGGGGGGGGATGAGGCAGGAGTGGGGAAGAAGAGGGCTAGAGGAGGAAGTCATGCCGGGGCCACGAGGAGGAAGGAACAGGAAGTCAAGACCCTGGGTTAACCATGTTGTGGGGGGCGGGTGGGAAACACAAGGGAGAGGATGGGAGGCGACAGGGCAAGTGTGAGGGCGCGAAGGCAAGCAAATGGAGAGCAGAAGCCCTCTGCAGCCTGGCCCTGCCTCTGAGCCTGCCAGCAGCTTTATGTGACAGAGGGGCAGCGAGCAGGTTACGTACAGCTTCAGAATATCCACCATGCTGCCTTTCTGCCTCTCAACCCCCAACCCCAGTTAGTTGAGACAGAGCCACTCCTCTTTCTGGTTTCTTCCTAACTCCCTTTCCAATATTCCTGTGATGTTTATGGCCTGGTACATCCTGTAAACAGAAGGCCAAGCTCCTGATTTCCAAACTGGGATTTGAACCTGCTATCTGCCTCCCTAAGAGAATTGTCCCTTTGACTTCCACCCCTAGAGTCACTCTCTGGTCTCACCAACATCTATCTGTGAGTTTCAGTGGCCCACGATCCCTGGAGTGGAGGATGTAAAGCATCAGGGCCCCACCCCTGGGATGGAAGCTTCCAGGGATTAGTGGAGGCGCAGTAGAGGTGAGGGCAGGCTTAAAAGGGGCTGGATAGGGCTCCTCCCTCCCCATGATGGGAACATGGGAGCTGAGGCCTCATCCTAAGAGACCCCTGGAGGGGCCCACTTACCCTAGATAGGCATCGGAGGCCAGCAACTGGAAAACACCCACTCATTGTCAGTACATCACCTGGGCACCACCTGTAGGGACTGTTGGCCTCCAGCTGTCGTCCAGAGCTCCTAAAAACCACACAAGGTCCGTTTGAGGGTCCCAATCAGGTGGCTTTGTTTCCTTGTCCTAACCCCTCTCCTGAGCCCCAGGAACCACTCAGTAAAAACAGCCCCTCAGATAGGCTAAGGACCACAAAGCCCTTGCTGGGCACCCTCTTAACAATCCCCTACGATGCTGGAAAGGTTACAGATGATATTATTGGAGACCTAGAAGGTTTAACCCACTTGTGCAGACATCACCCACTGTATGTGGCAGAGAGAGATCTCGAAACCAGATCTCAGAGTCTGAGACCAGCGCTTTTTTCTCTGTATGGTCATTGCCCCATTCTTGTGTATGGTGCATCATAGTTTACAAGTCATCTTCACTCACATTCTCTCCCTGCTCATCACAACCCCATGAATTCAGCAGATGAGAAGGGCTCAGAGATTAAATAACTTGCCCAAGGCCATGACGGTTCCATGGCACAGAGCCTGGTTCATGAAAACCTGGCCACAGCCTTGCCTGCCCTCTGCCCTCAAAGGGGAAGGGGCAGATGACCAGGCTCACTGCACCACAGCTGGAGGGCCGGGACCCCTGGGCACCACAGGTGATCTGCGACTGTCTTCCTCCCTGGTGCTTCTAGAGGCTGGCAGTCAGCAGGAGTCGGGTTGAAATTTCTGCCGGACTTTGCTATGTAACTTTGGGGACAGGGTTTGGCTTCGTGGGGGGCTTCACCAGTGCAGCTACAAACCCACAACTCCAGTTTCTCCCCTCCATCCTGGGGTTAAATGAGAGACTAGATGCAGCTGGGACAGGTCTGGAAAGCTACTGTGAGCCAGGAGACCAGACAGGCTAAGGAGCAAAGGAGCAAAGGTCTGGCTGGCTGCTTCCCTCTGGTGGTGAGAGTGGGTGACACTGGGTACCCCTCTGACTTTGTCAAGTTGACTCTCCCCAGAGCATCCCAGGACAGCATGGAGAAGCTGTAGCCCTCAAGACAGAGACTGGGATATCCCAGGAGGGAGGGGCTCTCTCGCTCTCCATCTTGAGGTACCCCATCCCTCCCCAGTCCCTGACCACACATGCGTTAAACCCTTTCACTAGGGATGGGATGTGGGTTTCAGCCTTTTCCCTAAGAACTTGTAATCTAGGAATTGAAGAGACACAGTCCAAGAAGATGGGAGAGGGCTTCCCTGGTGGCGCAGTGGTTGAGAGTCTGCCTGCTTATGCAGGGGACACCGGTTCGTGCCCCGGTCTGGGAAGATCCCACATGCCGCAGAGCGGCTAGGCCCGTGAGCCATGGCCGCTGAGCCTGCGCGTCCGGAGCCTGTGCTCCGCAACAGGAGAGGCCACAACAGTGAGAGGCCCGTGTACCGCAAAAAAAAAAGAAAAAGAAAATGGGAGAGAAGGGGAGGGAGGCATGTGAGGTGAAGGAAGGGCACGTTTAGGGGGGTTAGAGGTGGGAGGGCTGTCCCCAGGCCCCATCTAGAGGGAGTTTCAGCCTTCCAGAATCCTGGCTGATATCACATGTTCCCCAGGGGCCAGGCAAATCCAAAAAGAAAAGGTCAAGGGATGCCACTCCCCTTGTAAAAGCAAACATGGACAGACATGTGCCCGGCAGATACAAAGATAAAAAAGGGTCTCCAGGAGCCACCCAGAAGCCAACTTTCACTGCCCTTGGTTCTTTTTCTTTTCTTTTCTTTTTTAAATTTGGTGGAATAGTCTACTGGGTTTTAATCATGTTCAAAACTTCTCATAGCAAAAGAAATAGTTACATTTTTTTCATCTAATACTAGTATTTAGGGAAATCAGTTAAACATTTATTTGGTGAGTTGCCCTTGTTTTAGTCCCCACAGCAGAAAGCCAGGCATCCTGGGTTTCTCCCCTCAAAACTGAGAAGGCCATGCTGTGATACCCACCCCTACCCCAGAGTAGTCAGAGGGACCCCAGGCTCCGCTTGGATCTGCCTCCTGTGACATTCAAAAAGGTACTCACCTCTGCTAGCTTTGTCCTGAGTGATCAAAACCTTTTGTGGTCACCAAAAAGGGTCCCTCAGAGGAAAGGGGGATAGGACCTCTGAGCTTCTCCTGCAGGCTAGAGTAGAGAGAAGGGTTTCATCAGGCTGGCAGGGAGTCCACGTTCTAGTCCTACCTAAAAGCACTGCTTCTCTCCTCCCCCCTCCCCCTCCCCCCCACCCTGTTCACCTTTTTACACAAGTGCTGCTACATTACATCTATGCGAATAGGGTGGGAGGACACCTGGGGATGGGGGAGGGAAACAAGAATAGGCCCTAAGTTTGAAATGCTCCTCTTAATGGATGGATGGAGTTTTAGCAGCTTTAACGGTTTTCTACGAGAAACGTGCAGGATAAGGATGTGGTGGGGGCAAGGACCTCAGAGATACTATAGTAACGCATCCTCTTTGTATCAACCACTAGAAACCAGATTCCACCACTAGGCTGGAATTCTCTCCCTCCCCCAGACAGCACTCCCAACTTTGTCATGGTCTATTCCTTGCTCACCACCACCAGCAGTGAATAGGAAAGGCCCAGAGAGGTCAAGCTAACATCCTGAGTCACACAGCATCAGAATCAAGATTAGAACTCAGGGGTCTCTACTGCCTCTTGGGAAAACTGCAGCCAGAACTCTCCCTATTGCCCCCCTGGGTTGTGAGCTTGCAGTCCTGACTAGCTGGGTTGAAGTCCTGGAGCTCTCTTGCCAGTGAGGAAGCTGAGACCCTGAGTCACCTCTGGTCTCGCCCTGCCTGGGTGGACAAGCTAGGAGAGGATCCTCAGTGGGCAAGGAGGTGGCAGCTGACGGTGGAGTGGGGGGAGAGATATTTTTAGAGGTGGCTGGAAAGCAGGCACTCTGGCACACCCCCAGCTGGCGGGTGCTTCGCTCCAGTGAGGGGCGGCGGGCGGGCAGCTCGGGAGTCGAGGGGACTCGTGGGTGGCAGGGAGCAAAGGAGCACGGATTCCTAAGCCTTGTCCGAGTCGGGGACAGACCTAAACCCGGACAGCCCGTTCCTGGGGTAGGAGAAGGGGGACTCATTCCTCCGCCCCGGAGACTCCCCCAATGACACGCGCGTGAAAGAGCGCTCTCAGACTTAGCGCAGCCGCCACCCCACACTGGGACCCCAGCACTCCCCACCTCGGGAGACCCAGGACTCACGTGGGGAGCGGTGGCTGCAGACGTCTGTCCCGGCTGAGTTTGGAGTGTAAAGAGTGGGGAGAGGGGCTAGCTGAGGTATTTGGGCGCAGGATGGAGCAAGGGGTGCTTACGGGAATTGAAGGGGACGCGGTGTCTTATCCGCCCCCGGATTTCTTGGGCTCCGGCTCTCACGAGTCCCTCCACTCCCGAGGGGCCGTGGATGATGTGCATCTGGACCGCTCTCTCCACTTGCCTCCCATCCCCACCCCGGGCCGCCGTCGCGTCCCCTTTAAATACCCGGGAGCCTGAGCCGGAGCCCAAGCCGCGGTTGGCGCTGCGGCTGCCGCAGCACCCGGGCCCACCGCAGTCCCCGCACGTCACAAGCGGCTGTCCAATCACAGTGGCGCCGGAGAGCATTAAGGGGGCGGGCCGCCGAAGGCCACGCCTCCCGGCTGCCCCGGAGGCTCCCGGAGTGCAAGCGAAGGTGGGATAGGGAGCTGCGGGGAAGGGTAGGAGAGTGGAGGTGGAACGCGTCCCTTCAGAGGGGCGTGGTTGGGGGCACCCTCATTAGAGCGGCTGCGGGCCTCTACGTAAGTCCCGAGCACACACCTGGAGGTGCCCGGGCTGTGGACTTTCTCCACCGCCGCCTCCAGGGCTCTGATCCCGGAGATTTGCAGAAATGCACCACCATCTCCAGCCCTTATTCCGTTCTGCTCTCCTAAGCCCAAGAGCAGGGATCGGTTGACCCCGCCGAGGAAAAGCAATTCCTCTCCCACGTGCGCATAGCTAGGTGCCCTCTGCCCTCCAGGCGGAGTCACTGCGCCCCGCTCCTTGGGACCCTTGCTCCCGTTACAGGTCACAGGGAGTTGCCGACTTTCCCACTCCCCTACCCTGTAAACACTAAGTTGGGGACCAAACTCTCTGCCCCTTTGCAAGTAGTGTGGTAAATAAAAAACCCACTTTCTCCTCGCTCGCTGAGTCCTTTCCTAGCCACACCCACCCCACCCTTATGCCCTCCCACCCTGGTGGTGAGGAGGAGAGAAGATTATGTTTAGAGAGGAAAGAAACTTATTTACTGAGAACATACTATGAACCGGGTATCGTACTAGATCGCAGCACTTATGGTTGAATGTTGACAGCAGGAAAAATTGAGTTCAAACCCAGGCACACCTAACTCATGGGGGGTCACAAAGGGGCTGTGTGGGTGGGGAGAAGGTGGGCAGCCCCAGGCCTGGAGCTAGTCTCCCTGGCTCCACTCCTGGGGGAAGAGAGGGCACAAATGCAAAGGCCCTGAGTGATCTGGAGGCCAGTGGGACTGGAAACCAGAGAGGGAGTGAGGGTCAGCCAGGAAGTACCCTAATCTCTGTGCCAGGGGCTAGGGGTACATTGATGAATAGGGCAAACGTGTGCCATGTTTCCATATATACAAAGGGGAAGCAAGGCTCTAAATTTGCAAACCTGACCTTTAAAACCCTTGCCAGTAACTCCCAGTGCCCCAGCTCCTTCAACTGGTTTGCTGCTCCACTTCATCTCACAGCCCTGTCTTCACGCCTCACCCTTTCCTCCTGCTCCCCTGCAGGGGGCCCTTTCCTTCTCAGGACCACGCCCACCCCATTTGCTGAGCAAGTTCAGCCTGGACATCATCTCTTGCCCTGTTACACATCCTGCACTTCCTTTTATTATACTGATCACGTGTGTGCTAACAGAGCACGTAGTAGGTGCTGTAAATGTAGGGGGTCCCTGGAGAAAGAGATCAGGCATGGCTTTCTTGACATGAGAGAGGCCGTTTTTGACCTAAGCCATTTTGTGATCTGATCCAGGCCACGGTGCTTATCGTTAACAGGTCTCAGTAATTCATGAGTTTAAGGAAAGTGAGGGAATGCAGGAAAAAAGGAAAAGCCGTCAAGAAACAATAGCTCAGCTATAAAACAGAGTCCTGGATCCTCCTCAAGGGATCTGCATGACAATCTGATACATATCTTTGAGTTCTGTAGGAGCTAAGGCCCCTGCCCAGGTGGAGGATGGAATGAAGATGTTGACCCTCCCGACTTCAATCAAGTAAAGCTTGAACTTTGTTGACTTTTGCCCCAGTTCATGCTGAATCTCCTTTGGGAAAGATGCCTGGTGTTCTCCTTATTGACTTTTTTTGTTTTTGTTTTTGTTTTTTTGCCCTACTGCCTGGCTTGCAGGATCTTAGTTCCCTGACCAGGGGTTGAACCCGGGCCGCAGCAGTGGAAGTGTGCTTTAAATAATAAATTCTTCCTTCTCCTGCTTTTTGGTTTGGTTGTGTCTTTTGGCTCAACACCCACCAAGGGGCAAGCCTAGTTTTCAAGTAACATAAATATTTTTCCATATGTCAGTTCATGAAATCCTCACCACCCTATGAAGTGGGTGCATGGCTTGTTTTACTGTTGGGAAATCAAGGCACAAAGAGTTGAGCTAGACTACGGTCACTCAGCTGGTGAATGGTAGAGCTGGGCTTCCAACCTGGCTACCTTAATCATCACGCCACACCCTCTCATTCAGTGTCTGCCTCGCTGCTTCTCCAGTAGGCAACACGAGGGCAGAGACCATGCTTGTCTTATTTATTAGTGTCCCCCTAGTCCCTAGCATATAGACCCTGGCACATAGTAGACCTTAGATATTTGTTGTTGGATGAAACAGGTCCCCTGCTGTGTTCGCCTCAACATTAGTCTCCTCAACGTTAGTGCTCCACTTGTGTTCCCTGTTAAATCTTCACACCAACAGTCACTTCGGATTTATTCCCATTTTACAACAGGGAAATTGAGATCAAATGACTTGTCCAGGGTCACATGCTCTCAGGAGGCACTAGATTCTAATCCCTTTGATGCAATTAGCCCTTTTAACCTTGTTTCCAAATTCACCCCTGGGGCTGAAGGAGGGGTGGGCAGAGAGCTTCCTGTAGCCGCCTATAGTGAGTTCTTACTGCCTGATTTCGCCTTCCAGCAGGGATACCAAAGTTCAACAGGGGCTTCGTGCAAAGCACCTTTATGGAATAAATGTAGAAACTCCTAGCTCTCCCTGCACTAAAATTTTCAGGACGCAAACCTATTTCTCTCTCTTTTTTTTTTTTTTTTGCGGTACACGGGCCTCTCACTGCTGTGGCCTCTCCCGTTGCAGAGCACAGGCTCCGGACGTGCAGGCTCAGCGGCCATGGCTCACGGGCCCAGCCGCTCCGCGGCATGTGGGATCTTCCCGGACCGGGGCACGAATCCGTGTCCCCCGCATCGGCAGGCAGACTCTCAACCACTGCACCACCAGGGAAGCCCTGTATTTCTCTTTAAACTTTCCCCTCTCATTGTGCCAATGAGTAAGCAAGTTGGATGCTCAGCCATGTGTCTAAAGATGGGGACAGAAGGAATGGGAATTCTCACCTGCTACCACACCCTATCCCCACCCCCAGCAGGTTGAGGCCTCTGCCCAGCTCTCTGGCTGCAGAACTTCCTCCCCTCCCATGGGGTTCACCTTAGAACTCAGCTCAGTCCATCTGGCAGAGAGCTTGTGGAGATGGGAGTCATCTGAGGTGACAGGGACAGGAGTCCCTGGTGAGCCCTGACTCAGGTGGCCAGGAATGGAGCTCTCCAGCTGTTCTTCACAAAGAGGATGTAACTCTTGCCCGAGGTTTTGGTTGTAAGGCCTGGGAGGCCGGGAGGCCAGGAATGTGGCCTCTGACTCTCCAATCTGCCCGGTGGTGAGAGGAGCGCTTGCCAGAGGGAGGAGCAGATTGCCGCCGGGACGACTGCATTCAGGCACTGGGCACCAACTGGGTGCCAAGATCGTAATTCCCACATCAACCCTGGCAGATGGGTTTTAGTATTTCCATTTTACAAATAAGAAAGCAGAAGCTTGGGGACATTAAGAAAGCACCTTGCCCAAAGATGCTGTGTAGCAAGTGGTGGTCAGTCCCGATGTTCAGGTCAGCACTTCTCTGTCTGCAGAAGGCAGAGGTTCCCTTGGGGATCTGGTAACTGATGCAGGTGGGCTTAGTGGAAGAGGCCACTGGGAGTGACCCCGCTCAGGCAGTTCCGCAAGATCTGTTTTAGGTGCTCTGGGTCTAAGGCATTGTGCTGGGGCTTAGGGATCAGGGCTGGATAAATCCCTTTCCAGGTTTTTCGGGTAACATTTCCCTCCCTGCCTTCTCCAGCCCCGGCCCCTTCTCCATACAACGGGCTCACCCGGACTGAGCTGTCTGCTGTCCTCCCCCATTGAACAACAAGGTTGGGGAGTAATGTGGCAGGGGGAACAGGATAGAGAAGTGAATGAGCAAATACCCTTTCTGCTACCTAGCAGACCCCCACTACAGGTGAAGAAGACAAAGTAATCCCCTAGGGCCTCGTCTGGGCCAGGAAGTCTGTGCTGTCTGACTCAGATCCCACTTGCTGGGGTAGTTCCTCTCATTTGGCTTCTAAGCACCCTCCTTCTGTGAAACAGCTTTCAGAGGCTTGAAACCTGCCACTCTAGTCTCTTCATTTTTGCAAATGTCACATTAGAGAGAACAGGGCGATTTAGCCTCTGCCTGCCTCGTGTCCATGGTTACTTCTTGCATCCCTCTCCTCCTCGTATTGTGTGCTCTAAACATACCAGCCTTATTTCAGACTTTCACATGTGCTACCACAGGCCCTTTGCACATACTGTAGCCTCTTCCCACACCATCCATGGCCTCTCACTGAGTTCAGGGCTGAGCTCTGTATGTCACTTCTAAAAGGAAATTTGTTATGCCCACAACCCCTCCTCCCACCTTGATGTCAGGACCTCCCATTCCACATCTCCACAGCACCCTGTACTTGTCCTGGGTGATTGATTAATGTCTGCCTCCCATCAGACTCCATCAGGTCACCTCCACGAGGATGGGGCCATAGTGCGTTTGCTCCCAGGATATCCGCAGCAGCTGCACAGGCCTTGATCTAGAGCAGCCAGCGCACAATAAATACTTGTTGCCTGAAGGATTGCAGGAGTCTCTACCTCATCTACTGGTACAGGGTGTGGCCTTAGGCCTGGAATGAGACCAAAGCAAGCTGTCTCAGCCTCAGTTGTGTTGCAACCTGGCCATCTGACTGTGGATATGCTAACAATAGATGGTGTTGGCAGCTCAGCATGTCTTTACACCTTCCTCTGAGCAAGCTGACCCACCCAGGAATCTCCCTATCCCAAGGCAGGCCTGTGCTGATGGGAGCTGGAGGCCTTGAGGGCAGGTTGATAGGAACATTATTTTGGGTTCCTTTTGCCTAGGTCCAGGTGCACCAAAAATAAGAGCCCCTCATGTTTTCAGTAGACTTTGGAGCTTACAAAACACTCTGGGGACTTCCCTGGTGCTCA